CATAAATACTTATTTACCATTACTATTATGTAATCATTTCATTCGCATTAATCATTCTTCAGTGAGTGAGTATAAAGGGAATTTAAATGTGAACAACAATTTGATGGCTTATTTAAAGAAAGCTTAATTTTTAACGGTCAAATAGAGTCAAATTTATCTTTACCTTATTTATCCTATCTATCTTTGCTTGCAGGCCTAACTTTAGAACGGACAAATGAACTTAGAAAGTCTCGAGTTGAATGCACTACATATTCTTATGACTGTATAGAAAAGGCAAAGTTAAATATTGACAGGACAAATGTTGAATTGGACAATGATTTTATTGAAGATGTAAAATCAGCATTAGATGATACATATTCACATAGAAAAAAAATTAATAAACTTAAAGATATTTCAAGAAAATATGGTCATTTCTATGCTAGCGAAGTTGTTTTTGGCGGTGCAATCATTAAAAACATCAAGAGTATCAATGAACAAGAAAATGGTAGGTTTTATTAATATTATTACACCTAAGATTTAATCAAAATATTTATAACCTTAATTATAACTAAATAAAATAAGCCACAAAGGGACGTAATTCAAAGATGTCTTTTGGCTTTAAGAATAATCAAGCTAATGTTGGACTGGAAAATAATTCTGAAAACACAGTATCAAAATTATTAAATATATCACAAAAGACATTAACAATTATTGGTGGAAATGTTGCACTTTATATTCAAGATGATAAAGAAGCCGAAAAAAATTGGAGGAATTCAGTTAATGATTCTAAACATTGGCGAATAATTTCTTACAACATACGACCAATATTTGATTTGCTCAATGATGAAATAAAAAATAAGGTATTGGAAGCATTTGGTAAACAAATCCTTAAAGGTAAACCTTTTTTTAAAAAATTAAATAGAGCTGCAAGGTGATATTTGTATAAATTTTAATTGCACCGCAATAGATTCAACACCTGAAATTATGTCAGGGTTTTGAACCAGTTTTATTGAAACTGGTTCCGAACTGACTGCAACGTACAGTCATTCGCAAAAATAATGCTCAATTTTCTATTACATAGAAAAAATTGGCATTACTTCAGCAAATTTTATTTTGCAGCATTCAAAATAAACCATAAAATAGAAATAATTTAGACTTTATTAAAAAATAAAATAGCTAGGATAACTATTCGTGATACAGAATTACAACAATTAAGCTCGTGCCCAATTGTGATAGATGATTTGAATAAGGAAATTAAAGATGTTACTTCAAGTCCACACCAATGTCAGATCTTTGCATCAATAATAAACCAGGATAATCGGGTTTATTCTCTGCGAGTTGAATATTTAGATGAAAATACGCCTGTATTTGTCATCCATTATATTGGTGGAAGAACAAACTCAAGGAAAAAAAATAAATATAAAATAAAAATTGGTTGGATTATTATTGGATATCCAGAAAATTTTATATTCGAACAAAGGAATAATGAAATGGAAGTTATTATCAATGAAAAATATTGCGAAGAAATGATAAAAGTAGAAATAGAAAACAACCATTCATACAGCTGCTCTATTAATTCTTCTTCCAATAGTTGCTGTAAACTAGGGATAAGTGTGATTGAAAGTCCTGAGATATCCAGTAATTACAATGTATACAGATCCAAAATTGTGACCGGTGCTCATTTTTCTCCTGAAAATATGGCATGCTTATTTATTCACAATCTTGATAAAAAGCATAATATCAATGAAAATGTTGGTGAAGATTTACGTTTGAAAATGGTATACGGGTAAGCACTCTCTATTTTATATATAACTTTATTTCATATCAACTTCATTATTGTTTCTATTACAGAATTATTGATGTCAGAGATGCTAAATCTCTCTTACTGAAAGTGAAATGGAAAAACTATAAGAGTAGTATGGTTCCTAACTGCTTTGACGACTATAAAAAATTAATTGCCCATGATGAAGATAAAAAGATTCTTTCTTTAATTCTTAAAAGTTGTTGTGAACTCAAAGATGGATACAAAGTTGGTGATCTGGTATTCATGAATGTTGTGAATAAATGTGATCATCATGGGTTTGTAAACATTACTCCACAATATCTACTCTATGATTCACTAAATAACACAAGTAATGAATTTGAAGGTCATATTTCGTATTTACCTCTAAAATTTTATATTTAAATTTTTTAATTTTGTATTTATATAATCCCCGATCACTATATCAAGATCACGGGAGGATTAATTAATAATATCCTGACCGTATGTGAATAAGCGGAAACCTCGTTTCCGCTAATTCCCAACGGGTCAGGATATTATTATTACTAATTTACTACATATATTTAATAAAAATTTATTTTAATGACATTTAATAAAAGAAGTGATTGGTTTAAAAAAATGAAATTTTTAGTTTATCTACTTAGGAATTTTATTTTATTTATTTTTTATTATCTTTTTTTAATCCCGCGGTACCTTGGGATAATGGAATCGTCTGATTCAGAATGAATCTCATGAAGATACCCTTCCTGCAAATCTTCGCTCAAGAACTTAAAGTTCTGTGCAATTATTCGATTCACATTTAATTCTTTACAGATTTCAGACAAATAACTTTCAAGCTTGTTATCACATATAAATTTTTTGGCAGTTTTGCCATAATCTATGGTAATTAATAGTTCTCTTTTCATCTGAATCTCACAATTTTTGGTTTAATTCTACCGACTCCATCTTCATGGTATATAAAAAATTTATATTTGAAATTATTAGAATTATTATCTAAATTTTTTATAATTTGATCATGAACATCATAAATAGTTTGATCGATATCTAATGCTATTTCGACATGGAAATCAGAATTTACTTTTATTTGTATAATCTTAGTAAATAGCGATTTAACTGTGCGTACATATAATTAGTGCATTAAGATTTGACATGAGGGCGAAAACTTTTGATGGGAATGTAGTGATTATTAAAATTAGGTGATATAATAGAAGATATCAATATTTATATATAGATAATTATTACTAATCAATGGTAAATTAAATTCACGTGATACATATAAAATATATTACAAGGCATTTTATACAACATTTAGGTTTGCATTACTATTTCACGAACAATGGCACTGTATAAACCTTTTCTCTGTCAGCTTTGCAACAACTCATACTCTTCTAAATCATCATTAAGTAGCCACGAAATTGCTAAACATAAAATGAATCATATAGTTCCACACCACCAATATTTTTCTGTTTTACCTGAAGAAATTCTCAACCATTTTCGAGCAGTTTTTCTTCAAGATATTAATAATAAATTAGGTTTTCATCGTACTAATGAAGGAGTAAACCATTTTCAATGGAATTTTCCAGAAAGTCTATTCTATTATTTCTTTTCAAATGAAATTGGATTTTGTTATCGACCATCTATAAGAAGATATACATGTATTTTTAATGGACAAGATGGGTATAAACGGATAGGAAATATAATGCAATGTGAGTTTTGGGAAAAAGGCAAAATAAAATGGGAATTGAAACCTTTATGTTAGTTGAGGAAATAGATAGTAATGATAATATTGTTGAAAAACCGATTGAATTTGTTTGGCGAGAAAAGACTATTACAAAAAATATAAACAACAAAGCTTATTACATATCACATGGAATATTAAAATGTACTTTAGAATTACGACGTAAAACAATTGAAATAACAAACTAAATGTTTACATTTGTATTAGCTTATTATAATGTAGAAATTTTATATGTATTACAGCATTATTATATTTACTTATAATAGTATATGGTATTGTTAGTATTTCTACAAGAATTAAATTATAATATTTTTATTACTTTGCCTGAATATTCAGTAGACGTTTTGCTAATTCTATAATATATTTGTCTATTTTCAAAATTACACATTTGATATACAGCCGATTGTCTTCCTTTACCAGTTCCTCCACACATAGTCGTATTACCAAAATAAAGCTTAACCTAAAAAATTAATTTAATAAATTTATAAATTATTCATATATAATTTATAATATATATCAATATATGCACTTACATGTTCATGTTTTTTTTTTTTGTATCCAATGTAGTAAACCATTCCAAATAAAGATTTTGCTGATATAACTCTTGCATAAATGATGGTATATGATGTGCTAAAACATGCATATATGAGTTATATCAGCATGTTGATACAATCCTTCTTGCATAATTTGATTACTTAAAGTTTTTAATGTTGGTCTAGCAAAATTGTGAACCCATTCACAAGCATCTTGTGAAAATTGTGTAATATCATCTCTTGATAAATCACTATATTGAATTGTACAATATAATAAATGAAATTTTCTTCATAAATTTTCAATATCTTTACCTCTATTACCAACAATAAAGGTAGAAACTAGAAAATATTCAATAATTCATAGCTTAGTTGGGCCCATTAACATACACCATGTTCACTTTGCAATTTTAGTTTTTTTTACTAGTAGTAAAAATTTAAAACTAGTAACTCCAATTGCTTCTATTGTACATTCAACTTCTCTCAAATAGATATTGAATTATTTTGTTTATAATCAAAAGCTATTGGATCAAATATTAATTCAAATAAAAAATACTCAAGTAATATATTGATAATACGAAGTATCAAATATAAATTGTCTGAAACATATTGTGTAGTTACAATAGATAGTAATAAACTTGGATGAATTTGACCTAATATTTAAAATATAAATTAGTAATTAATACAATAATATGTATAATTTTTATCTATTATATATATATAAATAATACCTCTAGTATTTTCTATATTTTGCTATTTTTTTATATCTCATCGATCATTTTTATAACAATCGCACCATAAACAAAAATAGTTTGATATTGGTCCATTTATTTCTAAAACCAAAGTCATATATTTCCAATCTGCAGTAAACTAAAACTCAATTTGCCAATAAATATTATTTTTATCAATAAGCCCATTTTGATGCAAATCTATTAATTTATTAATAATTTGCTAATAAGCAATTATTAATGATTCATGTTGATACTAAAATAATAATTTTTTGTTTATTTTCTATACATAATTTTAAAATATCCAATACATATTAAATAGTTACTGACATACTAATATTGATTCTTAAAACTAAGCACTTTATTACCTTTATTAAAAATACATGCTATTAACATTACATAATTATTAAATCAACCTACTTGCCGTCTATCCCCACTTAACTTTATTTTGATAATATCATTTTTAGACAAAACAGGATTATTATCTGTAGTTAAATCTGAAATAAATACAATCAACAATGTAGTTAACGATCTTGTTACACCATTTCCAAGTTGAGTCTAATTAATAAATACTTCAATATTTTTATTTATAACTTGATGAATAGATGGAATTCTAATTTCACTATTTCTATTAATATTAAAGCTTTTAATTGAAATTTGTTTTTCTATAATTTCATTAAGTTCTTTGCATCATGCAGTTACAGTATATTCCTGTTTCAAAAAGTGCAGAATCACTATCAAATGTCTATAACTATTTCGTAAAATCAAACTAATATCATATGTATAAATAATAGAATCAAGATACATATCTAATATTAATTTGGTAAAATTCATTTTAACTTGTTTATCAAGAATCCTAAATCTAAGATAATTTAAATTCATATTAAAAAATTTATGTTTTTCTAACAACTTCTTAGAACAAGAATAAATGTCTGAAGCTAGATGTTTTAAATGATAGTTTTTTTGCGATTCAGATTTGAGGCACAAATAAGTTTTTAATTACTATCACTATTATCTCGATGTGTTTCAAGATATTCCAAATCCAATCCAAATAAAATAACACCTGATAAAGTAGATTTCATATTTGGATTTAATCTCTATTTAAAATATAGATTAGTATTAGTAAACAATTTAATATTAATACATTAATTTCAAATACAGAATTAAATATTTTGGTTAATTTTACCTTCATAAATTGCTGTGCAGCATCACTAGTAGATTTTATACTTATTATTTTGTGCTTTTTTTTTGTTTTTTTATCTATCTATATTATATAAAATTTTGGTTTTCTATTAGATTGATAACTTGTTCAATATATAATATTTTGATTATATATTAAAATTTGAACTTGATAATTGTTAAAAATTCGATATTCACTTCATTTTGTTTTTTGTATATCTTTTGGATAATATCCCAATTTCAAAATATTATATTGATATGTATAATTACAGTTACCAATAATATGTATCATATTGATTAAAGGATAATTATCTTTAAGTTCAAATATTGTCATAATAATTATTAATTTCAAATAATTAAAAATATATAAAAAATATCTAGTGATTGATCAATGATTTATAAGTATTATACAGGTTTATATATGGTTTCATAAGCAATTTATAGTTAAAAATATAATAACCAATCAAATACAATCTTGCAATGTAATAATTTATAAATATTATACAGTTTTATAATCAGTTTTATAAGCAATTCATAAGCAATACATAGCTAAGAAAAGTAATTGACCAATAAAATATAATCATACAATTCAATTTTACTAATGATCATCCAATATCACATAAATAATTATAAATGATTGGACAAAATATTATTATTTAATTTTTAATAATCACCAAATTAAAAAATTCTGCTCATTTGATCTAAAAATTATATTAATTTCCACTATACTAATTTACTATTTATTATCGAGTAATACAAATAGTAATAGTATATGATATATTAACTTAACAAATATATGTGTATAGTTGGCAAGATCACAACTGTGTATAAAGTAATATATTATGTATAGTATTTAAATATATATAAAATTTATACAAATATATATAAAAATTTATGCAAACGTGACGTTAAAAAAACTAGGCTTTGGGTTTAAAACTTATAATATCAAATTAGATCCAATTCTAATAAATTTTAATAGGTTGAGTCTATACCGTATTCTGTTCACCAAAGTACCCAGTATAACAAATAATATAGATCAATTTTTAAAATATTATTTTACATTATATGATGTGTAGTACTCATGATTCAAATTTTTTCAATTGTAAAAAATTTGCATCACACAAGTACTTTGGTGAACAGAATACAGTAAGTTTTTTTATTTTGGTAGTTTAAATCCCAAAGGTTAATATGGTTATTAATTAAAAAATACAGTGATTATATCAATAATTTTTTCTTTTTTTTTTTTAAAAAAAAGAATAAATTAATAAAATCAGTTTTAAAATATTATTCATTAATAAAATGATGCGAATACCTTCAAATGATATTAATTCAGATGAGAAGTTTATTTTATTATTTAATAACTTTTCTAATGAAGAAAACCTTTTTAAAAAAAAATTTTTTAATACTGATCAAGAAGAAATTTTTTTAATAAAAATAATTTTTTTAATAAAAGTTTTAACACCAATAATATGTTTGATGAGAATAGGTTTTCTGTAGGTTCTTTCCAGAAAATTTTTAAAAATTCATCTTAAATAGAAAGCTCAGAAATATTTCTTATAAAAACTTTGAGTGCTAAAGAAATGATTTATTCATTAACTCCAATCGAATATCTACCAGTATGTGAAAAAAGAATCATAATAATATATTATATTGATGGGAAAGATATAGACTCAGTATTTACAGATATATATAATTTTTTTTAATAAATATACATTATTGGAATTTGTAATAATAGTTTTTTTTAGATCCAATATTTTATAGGCAAGCTATGTAGTCAAAATCAAACAACTAGTTGTTATCTTGATGATGTTATTATAACAAAAAAGGATAGAACATATCAAAAAATTAAATTATATAAATTTGTAAATTTAGAACTTCAATAAATGCAGTACAAATCAGTTGATTCTAACTCTGATTTACAACTAAAAATAAATAATGAATTATCAAAAATAATACTTTTGTGTAAGTTTTATAAATTTTTAACTTATTATCATTATATACTATAAAATTAACAAGTTTTTTTTATTTAGAGTATATTTGGCTGCATATAAAACTAAATGTTAATTTAAAAAAGTGGTATAAAATATACTGGAACACCTATACTAAAATGTCTGTGCTGTTATAATAATATGTCATTATCTTATTTTATTGATTGTTTTGATTGGCATGATCAAGAAAAATTTTATTATTTTATTCTTATTAGTCAACCAATTTGTTATATCTAAATTTTTTATATATAAAATTATAGCAAAAAACATATAGAAT